ATTAGGAAGTTGCTGAGATGGACCCTGTACCCGTTTGAAACGAGTTGTTGCAGTCTGATTCGTTCTACCTCGTCCGGAAGAGAATGTTGATACCCGTTTGATGGGATCTGAAGGATGTTAATTATTACAAAGTTGCTGCTATTGACACTGTAGCCGTTCGAAACAAGTTGTTGAAGTTCGATTCGTTCTACCTCGCCCGGAAGAGAATATTACCACTCGTTTCACGAGGTTTGAAGGATGTTAGTTACTGCAATCACCATGAAACACTCAAAATCGACACTTCGAAACAAGTTCGAGCAGCTTTATTGGGACGTTCTACCTCATCCTCAATAGTACTGTTTGTCTGTATCATTACTCGTTTCCTTCGTCCATTTATACAAAGATAATTTACCACAACCGGTACACTTAAATCAATCACATAATTTGACGATGATTGACCACGAGTTTATCTCAAACAGCTGACATAAACTCGACCAGACTAGGCTCTGTACAGGTACAAGTTAATTACTCGTCCCAAATGCTGACGATCAACGTTTCCAAGTGCCAATTAACCCTCCCAGGCTCGTGTTACTTAATTCTCAAAATCTTCTGTAACCGTATTACCAATTTCTGGAGACAACCCGGGTAGAAGGCTAAATTTTAGGATTCTCGTTGCGTTGTTTTAAATAATTGCGTACGACGTGTTAATTCGGGACGTCGAGTTACCAGGGGCAGGATAAAATCGACGATTCCTGACGGCCGCAACACGACCAACCGCGCGCAACCGTTTGAAAGTGTATCTGGCCGCGGCGCTGTATCTTTACTGCCATCTAAAATCGACGCCCGATCGAAATCCATCGAGCTTTCACGATGCGGCGCGTTGAAGTCGAGACCTACGCGAGACGATGAGGTTTGCTCGAGTAGGTGTTCGAGGATCGTAAACGTCCGCGGCCGACTCGATAAAACCCACGGAAACGACGTGTGCACGCACCTAACGCGTAACCTGTACAAACACTCTTGGAAGGTGTGCGAGAGAACCTCCTCGAGACGCTTCTTGTACCCGATTACACTTTTAGATTCCGAAGCACCGCGCGAACGAACGGATCCACCGAGTCCTGGAGGACATTTTCGTTGGTCGCGCGACTCATTCGCGAGTGGGTAATCGCTGGCAATTAACATCGATAACAGTTTATTGCATCGACACGATAGAGAACGCGAAAATAAATTTATAAGAATTGCAAATAGTTTATAATTTGGTTGGTGAATCTTTTCTTTTATAAGTGGTTATTGGAATTTGCATTCAGCGACTTAATAATAAGCATCTTGGAATATTAGATGCGTTCTGATCGATTTGAAGCTAATTTATAAATAAAAAAACAGTGGTTGATACTGTAATAATTTTAGAAATAACTTGTGGTTGCTAACTATTTGTTTGGTTTTCGAGATTTTGTTCACGCTCGAGCACAAAGTGTTACAACAGTTTCGAATCGTCGAATATCGCGAATAAAGCTTGGAGATCGTTTCTAGATTTTGAATTTGTCGATTTTCCATCCGAGTAAAGTAGAATCTAGCCTCGAGCGTTTCATCGGGTCCCGATAGAGCATTTTATATTCTTCATCCACGGTTCCATTTGTAACTTTAGATAGCAGGTTGACTCGAAGGGACGTAGGCGAGCCGAACCGTCTTCCACGATTCTCTTCATGGTCAATGACACCTGGTCGCTGTTATTTATAACGTTCTTCTACGACCGACGCTTATTTTGCATCAAATCCAAATTTCGATAATTTACATCCGAGCGTTTTCAAATAAATTGATCGCGTCCAACGAACATTACCTAGGCAACCTTGCATCATCGACACCGTACAAATGGAACAATGAAGGAACGTGTTGCTTTTAGGACGTTGTTACATCCTCCAAAGAAACGATAAAAAAAATTCTCGAATACTTATCAAATTTCTTATCACCATCGTCACGTTTATATTCAGGATGTTCGTGTTTGAATATTTCTAGAACCGTTTCACTGTGTGACTTTAATTGACACTGGAACTATCGACAATTATGGTGCATTTATTAGAAATAAAGTGAATTTTCGAAAATCCCAATCGAGCAAATTTTTCACAATTTTTGCTAGAAATTAGAAAATTTTGACCACCTCTAGTGTCAATTTCCTTCTCTCTTATGTTGATAAATTTTTCATCGACTTTATATAAGGACTCTTGGTCGCAATGTGTATTAACTGGAATAGTTTGTGCTTGTTTTGGAAACTGTGTTCTATTTCGTGGAAGAAAAATCGGTTCTGCTCGGAAACTGAATACGCTGATCGTTTTCAGGGCGCCTCGACGCAGCCGCAGATCATAACCGCGGATTTTAATGTCGACGAGAGAAAGGCAGTAGCTTCTGCATGACCTGACAGGAGCAGACACTTACTTTGGAATTTATGTGAAATCGTTAACCGCGAAATCTCAAAACTAGCGACCATTGGAAAAATCCTATTCGATTGGAAGTCGCTGGTTTTAAATCTTCTTTGAAAAGTGATTGCATACTAACTAAAAAGTGTCTTGATTTTAAATTCTACCAATATCTGTTACTCGAAAACAGATATTCGAAACGATCGGAGACAGTATATATAATAATTAACTATTACGCGTGGAGAAAGTGTGTTGAAATTTTCTGCCATGAGTTTCTTGTGATTTTCACCAATGTTTTCCCGAGACTAAGATAAATAATAACGATAGAACGGTAGGTATTGTAACTCAAACCTATTTTTGAAGTTATTTTACTTGTTTAAAAAATGTCACGTGTTTTTCTGCCACACAGACGAAGAAAATGGGACACCGGGACAGTCGACGGAAACTGAATGGCCTAAGAGGCTACATTCGACGTAGACAATGTCGTAATTGGGCCTACAACTTGGGAAGACAACGAGATTCCTCAAGAATACAAGTTTTAGATCTCTGTATTAGAAATAAGAACGAAAATAAAAAGAATAATTCACGTTGAACACTCTGACCACAGCCTATTTAATTTTCCCTATTTTATATAAATGGTACCTCTGTATAAATATTTTACAGAACGATCTTCTTCGTTAAAAGATAGTCAAGCAGAAATTATTTCTGTATACTTAAAAATTTATGGTACGAAAATGTTTAATTTGAATTCGTTTCTGTAAAATGTAATATTAAATAGACTCACTGCTTCTAAATATTACAACAACGTTGTAAGATCGTTGCGTCGATCGCGAAAAATCGAGGAATGGCCCGGAAACACAGCGAATGACGAATTTCATCGTCCCCGATCAGCGGGCATCGATCTTTTTCGCCGCGATCGGGAATCGTTCGCGGCGAATATAAGGATTCCGGAAAGTCGCTGAACGTGCCCCTTGTCAGGCCACCCACGGGCTCCCATAAGTATGGCGCGAGGTACGGCCAGGTACGCACCATAAATCGGGATTTTATCTCGAAGCTGCCGGCCCCTTGGCACGCCGGCGATTGCGTAATCCTAAATTGGTCCCCGGTTTCGATGCAGCGAGATTCGGATTTCAGGACCCCAAGGTCGAAGACACACGACTCAAAACTACCATAAAACGTCGATTCTTCCAACTAATAGAGACAAATACATTCCATGATCGTCGACTTTAAAGTTATTCGCAAAAAGAAACAACGCAAAACGATGTAGAAAACGATCTAGAAAATAAAAAGTAACCAAGGCCCTTAAGTTAAAGGAAAACTATATGATAGGCAAAGTAATTAATTGTTCCAAGTAATAGAAACAAATATATTCCAGGATCGTCGACTTTAAAGTTATTCACAGAAAGAAACAACGCAAAACGATGTAGAAAACGATCTAGAAAATAAAAAGTAACCAAGGTCCTTGAGTTAAAATAAAACATTACATAATAGGCAAAATAATTAATTGTTTCAACTAATAGAAACAAATATATTCCATGCTCGTCGACTTTAAAGTTATTCACAGAAAGAAACAACGTAAAACGATGTATTTAAAAAATAAAAAGTAACCCTTAAAAAGGCCCTCAAGTTAAAGGAAAATATTACATGATAAGCAAAGTAATTAATTGATCCAACTAATAGAAACAAATATATTCCATACTCGTCGACTTTAAAGTTATTCACAGAAGGAAACAACGTAAAACGATGTATTTAAAAAATAAAAAGTAACCCTTAAAAAGACCCTCAAGTTAAAGGAAAATATTACATGATAAGCAAAGTAATTAATTGATCCAACTAATAGAAACAAATATATTCCATACTCGTCGACTTTAAAGTTATTCACAGAAGGAAACAACGTAAAACGATGTATTTAAAAAATAAAAAGTAACCCTTAAAAAGACCCTCAAGTTAAAGGAAAATATTACATGATAAGCAAAGTAATTAATTGATCCAACTAATAGAAACAAATATATTCCATGCTCGTCGACTTTTAAATTATTCACAGAAAGAAACAACGTAAAACGATGTATCTAAAAAATAAAAAGTAACCCTTAAAAAGGCCCTTAAGTTAAAGGAAAACATTACATAATAGGCAAAATAATTAATTGTTCCAACTAATAGAAACAAATATATTCCATGGCTCGTCGACTTTTAAATTATTCACAGAAAGAAACAACGTAAAACGATGTATCTAAAAAATAAAAAGTAACCCTTCAAAAGGCCCTTAAGTTAAAGGAAAACATTACATAATAGGCAAAATAATTAATTGTTCCAACTAATAGAAACAAATATATTCCATGGCTCGTCGACTTTAAAATTATTCACAGAAAGAAACAACGTAAAATGATGCATCCAAAAAATAAAAAAAAATCAAGACCCTTGAGTTAAAGGAATAGATTATACGTTAGGCAAAATAATTTTCTGAACTTGTCATCAAAGTTTTCTAAAGTGGAAACCGACAAATATTTGTATATTTCTATTTTTTTGCGATAATCGTTTCTACTCGATCGATAAAATAGGGTAGTTTTGTTATTTCGATAGTTGTTTAAATTCCGCCATTGTTTTCTGTTTCAGGAGTCGCGTTGGGTCGCCGACGATGTCAGCGACCGTTGCCGGTAACCAGCAACAGCAACACCCTCATCAAGAATGGGACATCAACGACTCGAACGTTCCAAGGGTAATTATTCTCGATAGCACCTTTCCGCCGTTTCACGAATGCAATTAAGCAGGGCTAGGGAACAGTATTGTTCGCCACGGTATTCCCACCGTTAGGGAATATCCAGACCCTTGGAAATTACCAGCTCCGACCACTTTTGATTTTCCCTAATTTCATTACGAACGCGCGGCCAGGTACACACGTCGTAAAGAAAGCGACGTGGTCGAAACGATTTGATTAAAAAATACGAATAACCACGGTATTTCAATTATTTGAGCAAGAGAGTACTTCCATAAACGTATCAATTAAAATACTTGGTCTAGAAAATTTTTAAAAAATTACGACCGAACAATGGATAGTGAAATAAGGGTAAGTTAAGTGCTATTTTCATTTTTTTTTTTTTTGATGCACGGATTGCTATCATTTTTTCAAAATGTAAAATCAGTAGATGTTGGAAGGTATGGTTTTTCATGAAAAATAATTTTATCGTCTGATATTGATGTTAATGTATTGGAAAATTAAAAACGACAATTCGCGGGGAAACGAAGAAAGCGTCGCGTTGATGTTATTTTCTAGCTACGTTCTGATGCATTTAAAAAATCATTCCTTATTGTGACATCAAAATTAGAGGGTTGTTTGTTTTCAGGTAGTGGAGTATGATCCCTGGTGCGAATGGGCGGATGGCCATGTAAGAAGGGTCTACGGGCCAGATTGCGAAGAGGCAAGGAGGCACGCCTCAGGTTGGGCGATGAGGAACACGAACAACCATAACGTTAGCATCCTGAAGAAGTCATGCCTCGGTGTTCTAGTCTGCTCTCAAGAGTGCGTGTTACCTGGAGGCGGAAGGGTTCATCTTCGACCGGCCATTTGCGACAAGGTAAACGCACCGAAACAATATACCACGTGGATAACTTCGTTTCAATCCATTCAAACAGAAACCCCTAAATATTTCGATTTATGGAAAAATGGACTTGTACCAGTTTCGAAAATAATTCACAAGAAACAAACTTTTTTCTATTTATAGTTACCATTATGGAAAAAATTTTAATGGGAGATTCCAGAGGCCAAAATAAGACGAAAATCAAGAATACCAATTTGTTGATTGACGCTTCGTTAAAAAGTTATTAACAAAAATGCTAACAAAATTTGTCCACCTAGATGAATTTTTTTTTCGAAAGTGCGTAGGATTTCGGGGGTATACCTATTCACCAAAAATGATTGTAATTGACTCCTACAATCAAAAATAATTTTTCCAGAATGATTTGAAACTATTCAATATCGCCGAAAAATTTCTCCACCTACTTGAATTTTTTTCTCCAAAATGGTTATGATTTCGGGGGTATACCTATTCACCATAAATGATTGTAATTGACTTCTACAATCAAAAATAATTTTTCCAGAATGATTTGAAACTATTCAATTTTATCGAAAAATTTCTCTACCTACTTGAATTTTTTTCTCGAAAATGGTTAGGATTACGGGGGTATGTCTAATCATCAAAAATGATTGTAATTGACCCCTGCAAACGAAAATAATTTTTCCAGAATGATTTGAAACTATTCAATTTCACCGAAAAATTTCCCCACCTACTTGAATTTTTTTCTCGAAAATGGTTAGAATTTCGGGGGTATACGTATTCACCATAAATGATTGTAATTGACCCCCGCAACGGAAAATAATTTTTCCAGAATGATTTGAAACTATTCAATTTCGCCGAAAAATTTCTCTACCTACTTGAATTTTTTTTTCGAAAATGGTTAGGATTTCGAGGGTATGTCTAATCACCAAAAATGATTGTAATTGGCCCCCACAATCAAAAATAATTTTTCCAGAATGATTTGAAACTATTCAATTTCGCCGAAAAATTTCTCTACCTACTTGAATTTTTTTCTCGAAAATGGTTAGGATTACGGGGGTATGTCTATTCACCGTAAATGATTGTAATTGACCCCTACAACTAGAAATAATTTTTTTAGAACGATTTAAAATTTTTTAATTTCGTCGAAAAATTTTCCGGTCAGTATGGAACTTTAAACATTAATAACTTTTTAACGAAGCCTCAATCGACAAATTGGTATTCTTGATTTTCGTCTTATTTTGGCCTCTAGAATCTTCCATTAAAATTTTTCCCGGAGTTATTCTAAATGTTGACCTTGAGAAAGTATTTTAAAGTCGCGCAAATCCAATAATTATCATCTCGTCTAACAAGGATCACAAAAGTAGTGTACAAAGCATTTAAAAGACAATTTCAAAATAGTAAACACGGCATTTCGAAATACTAATTTTCCAAAAAAATTGCTTTAAAATGTTGACCCTGAGAAAATATTTTAAAGTCCTGAAAGTCTGCCATTCCCATTAATTACCATTGTCTCATCAAACAAAAATCACAAGAATAGAGTTCGAAACGTTTAAAATAAATTTCAAATCAATGGACGGAGCATTTGGAAATACTAATATTCCCAAGAAGTTGGTTAAAACGTTGACCTTGAGAAAATATTTTAAAGCCGTGAAAATCTGCTATTTCCAACAATTAAAATAGTTAAAGTTTTCTAAATGATGAACCATCGAATCGTTAAAACGGTATGGTTGGTTTTCAGGCGAGAAAGAAGCAACAAGGAAAGCCGTGCCCGAACAGACAGTGCACGGGCCGTCTGGAAATACTTTCGTGCCGCGGCCATTGCGGTTACCCCGTGACGCATTTCTGGCGACACACAGAGCACGCGATATTCTTCCAAGCGAAAGGGCAACACGATCATCCGCGACCGGAAGCGAAGTCCACGTCCGAGGCGAGGAGGAGCGTGGGCGCCGGCAGAAGGGTACGAGGATTGGCGGTCCTTTTGGCCAGCGAGGCCGCTCTGGGATCGAAAGTACGTTTTTACATCAAATATCGCCAAAGAACCACGCACAGATCTTATCAAAAATGGTCCCGATTAAATTAGCTGAATTTTTTATGTAGTATGATGTTTGATGTAGTTCATAATGTCTTGATGAAAAGTTCCAATGGACCCAAAGCTCGTAAATTGAACAGTTTCCGAGATACGGGGGATCAAAAGTCAATAATAGTGTAAGAAGCACTGTTGTGACCCTTTAATGGAGGAGTTACGTTCAAGGGTTGCTTCGTTTAAAATTTCAAGTGTTGTTCAAAGCAATGTTTTCAAAAACTTGACGCTTACGTTTAGAAAGGAGCTAAATTAGCTGAATGATAAGTTCCAATGGGCCCAAAGCTCGTAAATTGAACAGTTTCCGAGATACTGGGGATCGAAAGTCAATAATGGTGGGCCTTATTATTCTAGACTACCACGTTTGAGAATATTTGAGTGCAAGAAGCACCGTTGTACACTGTCCATTTATTCGACCCCTGAAAACTCAGTAGTTGTACTGTGGGCCCTTAAATATTACCCCTTGACCCCCTGACCCTCTGACTCTTATTCAAGAATCAAAATAAAAAAACGCCAGAAAGGTAAAAAATGGTCCTCTTTTGCATTGTACAAACATGAAGCACCGTCGACATTAGCATTACCTAGTGTGCACCACGAGGAGGTTGTTCGATTGAATTTTGCACACCATGTGACCCTGAAGAGGGCCATTTTTATAGCCATAAGAATCTTAACATTCATACTGTCTTGATAGTCTCTGTTAGCGGCATCTCTGGTCGTATTTAGAAGATTGTCATCCGAATATTTGACAAATCCTAAAAACCTTAAAACACTTGCAATATGTGCGCATGTACCAAATGTTTTGGCACCGAATTGATAGATCCAGTAGTAACCATTTATTACTTCTTCTAGTTCCAGTTCATTTTTGGGAATGTGAGAAATAAGAACTAACAATCGTGAATAAATTTTTAGTCTTCTAAGGCTGTTATCTACCAACGAAGTATCAATCTGCGCTAATAGAGGGCATCGAGACAGTATGAATGTTGAGATTGTTATGGACAAATAGAGAGAACTATAAAAACGGCCCTCTTCAGGGCCACATATGGTGTGCAACATCCGATCGAGCAACCTCCATTTGCAACCTCCAATGCACACTAATGCTAATGTCGACGTTGCTTCATGTCTGTACAATGAAAAAAAGAGCCAGTTTTTACCTTTTTGGGCGTTTTTTTATTTTAACTCCCGAAGAGGAGTCAGAGGGTCAAGGGGTAATATTTAAGGTCCCACAGGGTCACAACAGTGCTTCTTACACTCAAATATGCCTAATCGTGGTAGTCTAGACTTAGTCTAGACTGGTAGTCTAGACTTTTGGTCCCCCGTATCTCGAAAACTGTTCAATTCATGAGCTCGGTCCCATTGGAACTTTTCATCAAGACATCATGAACTACATCACATCAAAAGTTCAGCTAATTTAACCAGCCGCCATTTTCCATAATATCTATGCGGGGTTCTTTATCTATTCGCGTACAGGATCGTGAAATAACAATTAAGTACGAGCAACGCCTACGTATCGGAATATTTTCGCTAATAATAACTAAAAAACGCCAATTTTATCGCGCTTTATTATTTATACCCGATGCTGATATATTAGAGTGGATCGATGACTCGTACCCGTACGCCAGAACCTTTGGAAAAGTCTGATTTTATCGCGTAAACCTTTTGCGTTTCAAAATGACAAGAACGCACGACATCTTGTACGCAATTATGTTCTACGTCTGAATGTCGGTATCTGCGTCCGTTTCGAGAGTATTCAAATTGTTTCGAAACATCGAAGCGTATTCGGAATGCGCATATTTATCGATATAGATACACGACGCTATATACGATTATAGCTTTTCCACAACTTTCCATGGAATCTAATCTCTCATCGTATCTCTCACGGATGGAAAAGAATATTTCCCTCTCGAAAACGAGGAATGAATTTGTGTGAGTAGAATTTGCAATTTACGTTGTTAAATATTAGTAATGTAAATTTCGCAGACACAAAAACAGATTTAATTGAACAATCATTAGAAAGTCTAAAACTATCCTTGCAACGTATTGTAAATTAATTTATTCTTGTTACGTTCACTAAGCGATAATGTTTTGACTATGTAAAATCCACATCTGTAGTTCCTTAGATATTACATCGTTGTACTAAAGGGTTTAATTACCCGTTAATAAATGAATAATAATAATATGGCGACTTACCCGGTGACGCGCCACCTCGATGCAGAACACGATCGACGATTTCGATCGATGCGGACGATGATCCTTCTCCTTCGAACGTTTCGACCCGTTTGACGAATTGTTTGTATTTTTACAGTTAATGTCACTGCGAGGAACGAAACGACCGAGTTCTGAGACGATCGAGCAACCACCGCGGACTACTCAACCACCACCACTGATTTCGGACAAAGGTTAATATGCTTCTTACTTTATCCACACACGTTACGCGGTATACACTAAAGAGTACATCGACGCGATTAGAGACAAATGACAGCACGTTTTCAGAGAAAATCTGCTTTTTATCCGGATTTTCTCGCACCGTGTCGAACGCTTGCCGCGACAGATTACCCGCTAATGATACTTTTCTTGGCCGCTTGGCGGCGCCACCTCCCGCGACTGTTGCCGCGCAGCCACGCGACGCGCGAATTTCAACAAAACTCTGTAGACATCGATGCAGAATCTCTTAAATTAAAAAAGATCCATCGATCTCTTCGCGAAGCTGAAGTCTCCTACTTTGTCGAAGATAATACAAAAACTGTGAACTTAACCTTCCGTTGGCATAACAGGTTGTTCAAGCCCTGGCGAAAATTTCTACGTTTATTTTCTCCGAAACGAGTCCGTAAAAACTTAAAAGTAAAAAACTTAAATATGATTTGTGTATCGGAATAGAAACTCTAATAAGTGTCTTGGAATTTTTGTAGATTTTTGTAATGCCTAAAACGATAAAAAAACAGACCTGGATTTAAAGAACTCGTTATATCGCCCGCGCTAATGAAAATAGTTATGCCAACAGTTATAGTTATTTAAAGATTGTTTACTAACTGAAAGTGATCGATGCAATGGAAACTGCCGCGGTAGGTGGCGCCGCCCAACGGCCGAGAAAAATAACACCAATACGAAAACGGTCGCGGCAAGTAGGTGTTTGAAAATTGATTCGATTTCATTCTTTCCTCGATTATGTGTATAAAAATTACTAATTCTACATCGTTGCTTGCAATCTATTTTAAACACGATCTATTTACAATTCTAAATCCCCGATTAATATATTATTAAATTTGTACTTTTTCATATACTAGTTTACCTCCAGAAATACTTTCGATTAAAATTCTACTTTTTCCAAATTCCAGGATATTCATGCTCCTGCCCACCGTTCGAGTGCATGTGTGCTCTGCAAACCAACGTTCCGCCTTACCAGCAGTCCCACCACCACCAAACCACAATGTACCCCCAACAAACGCCTTCGAACGACACATCCTATTGGCTACAAGACACCGTGCAACCTCAAGAGAACCCCCTGGGCTACAGCCTACCGAATCAAGTTCCCCAGGAAGCCTCGTATCCGGACTTCCCTCCGTTCACCGGTGAACTGTTCCAACCGGAGGAGATCTTCCAGTTGGATCAGCCCCTGCGACCGGACTTCCCCATGAACTCCCAGGACGTGGCCAGGTCGCCCCCGACGTTGCTCGACCTGGGCAGCGGCACCATCAAGTACGAAATGAAGCAACACCAAGATCAGGCCTACTGGAACCAATTCCTCAGCGAAGACTCCAGCAGCAGCCATCTGAGCATGCCCCAGGACGAGAGGCTTCAGTTCCCCGGTTTCGAGACGGACAAAGACTCGAACGGATTCTGCGCGAAAAGACCCGTGAACCATTTCGTTCCCGACAAGGAAGCCAATCAGACTCATCCCCTGAACAACGCGCTCAACTTCCAGGACTACCAACGGAACCCCAACCACAAGAACTTTGTTGACGGAACGATGAAGAACGATCAACAGTCCAACTACTGGGCCCAGAATCACCAGGACGACCGTTTGAACTTCCCCGGTTTCGATCCTCAAAAGGACGACCTGTTGGCTTCCAGGAGGGACGTGAACTGTTTCCCCAAAGAGAACTGTCAGCCGGGTCTGATGGAGTCCGGAAACTACAACGTCTACCCGAAAAAGGAAAACGGAATGCACGAACCGGTCCGTTCTAGTCGCAGCCCCGTGCAGAACAAATACGCTTACGACGGCTACAGCCCGATGTTCGACCATTCGGACTCCAAGAGCCACATGGCCAATCGATCGCACCAGAACTCCAACCGAATGGTCCTGGACGAGAGACTCCAGAACAATTACGGGAACCACGAGGCTCCCGACACCACCGAGAGGCTGTTCCCCGAGTCGAACGGCATGGACGCGTCCATGCAGTCGCAGAACAGCTCGGAACCGTTCTTCTACCCCAGCAACGACCGCTGCCATTACACCTGCGAGGTGCTGGACACTCGACTGCCTCAAATGATGAACCCTGGAACCGGCCAGACAGGGATCAGCAACTACGGAGACGTCAGCGAACTCGATCTGCCACCTTTCGTCGATTACACCCTCGTAGGGATGCTGTGCAGCTCCGCGGAGGAGGACACGTCGAATCTGTTACCTGGTTGCCCTCAGAACGCGCAGACCTACGTTCCTCATCATTAGACTACCATTTTTGTATTATAAATGTCGAATGCACGACGGGACGCGTCGTGGAGATTCGTTTCATCCTTGGGGTCCTGTGGGTGTTGCGTGGTAGAGGAAAGAATCGACTTGGGAGACAGAGGGTAGTTACCCATGTGAATTTTGTTTCGTTCGATAGCTCGACAAAGAGTGATTTTTTAATTTCCCCAATTATCTGTCAACCAAATCTGTCCCCCAAATCGATTTTCTCTTCGAATTAACGTGGTTGCTGTTTGACCACAAGAGAGACTGAAACAAACAGCTTCAAAGAAGTATTATAATTTTGTGAGTGAAACGAACGATCTCCGTTTCGACTTACCATCGTGGGAATTTCGTCGGTGCGAAGGACGACAGAGTCGAATTAAATATTCGTTCGCCATTTTGACATGTTTCGGGTCAAAGAGAATGAAACTGCTTTATGTTATCTAAAACAGAAATAAATGTCCTGTACGAGAGGCGTTCTTAGACATCAAAGAACAGGGAATGATTGTTCTTCTCTTCCTATTTTAAACTAATATCTTTCTCTTCGTTTCTCCATTGAAATCTCGACGTCTAGACTGACGTTAATTAGGGCTAGGACTGTCCGAATGCTACGAGCAAACTTTATAAAATAGAGTTTTTTAAGCACAATGAAATTAAAGAACATGATTTCTATTTCACATTCGAATTGTATTCAAACACAGAAAAATATAATTATCCTCCTCCAGTCCTAGCGTTGACTATAATTTTGATCTTTGTAAAAGCTCGGCGAGTCGAATCATGTAAATAACAAAATTTTTTCAAACGCTGTCAAGATCCTTACGAATTAAATGAGAAATCGAAGAGCCCGCGACGCAGTTGTAAGACGAGACCGGAAACCGTGTCTTACATGCGCGTCCGGTGAAGATCCTTTTTTGTTGAAATCGAACTCCGGATTGTTACTAGAATTAAGTAAATAAACGATCTTTTGTTAAACGAACCGTCGTACGTTCATTGAGTTGCTGCGAAGAGGGGTTGGAGTCAAAAGTACTCGAGTCGAAAGTTAGCTTGGAAAAAAGTCACGTGGTTTATTCGTAATTTATTTATTCGTAACAGATACACTCACGATCACAATTGTATGTACGTTAATGTAATATTATCATACACCTATTTGCGTTACACTTTCTCGGGTTACATGCGCGATATTCTTTTTCTTCATTTTTTCATTAGTTTTTTTTTTTTTTATTTATTAGGTATTTCATTTCGTTTTTTTGCGATTCTGCCATCGAGTCTTGGTTTCCCTCGAGCGGCGGACTCGAAGGTAGACGAGAAACGAAAACGGTTGCGAATCCGCTCGCGCGCGATCGCTGGACGATCAAACGAGTCGTGCACGCGCCTATAAAACGCTTTCGTACCGTTCGCGTGAACAGCTGCCAAGAAAAAAGAGAGCGCGGGAGCAACTTCTACGAGTGCCCTTCGAAGGGGTTACTATTGGGCCAGCTAGTCGAATTCGATGAGCAACGTCTAATCGGATGGCTCGTTGAACCGTCCCGTGCAGCGAATCCCGCGTTCGCGGATCACGTTTGCCAGCGAATTCCTGCGTTCGTGCGAACCTGCCACACAACTCGGAGCTACAAGCGACTCGCTGCATGTGCATTTTGCATTTTGTTCCCCAGGAGAATTGTTTATCCATCGAACGAATTTCTAACACCGTCGCGAGATTCAATTGTCCTAAGGTAGAGGGTTATGTCGGATCGATCGTATAACAGTAATCGTTATCCAACGAAACGGCTGTGTAATGTTCCTCGTGCGAGTGAAAAAATAAACGGTACGCCGTTGCGGGCCCGTCTCGAGAAGCCTAAAAGTAAACGACATCCGAAAGACTCTCTTTCCGCGCGCAAACAACGATTTACGGTAGAAACCTTCCTAAGCGTATTAATTTTGGTCGATAAAAAAAAAAAAGAAGAGTATTCTACTACAATCGAATTACACTTCTCCTATACGAGTCACGCTTAAAACAAATCACTATCGTCGCTACGTTACAATTTCATACGTTTTTTTTTTCTCGTTTTAGGCGTCTAGGTAAAAAAGGGGGACATCAAATCGCGGTTCGATCGACGTCGCGAGAATCGCTAGGAATATAAAAACGCGGCTCCTATCCTCTTCCGGTTCTCTTTCTTCAGCGTTCGCGTCGTCGGTGTTCCTCTGTCCGTTCGAATCCGACTGCTCGTTTCGCGAATGTCCGCTCTTCGTTTTCTGAGGTGGCGGCTCCGACGCGCTCCGTCGCGGCCATCTTGCAACGCGGCGGGGTATGGTACGTCCACGGGAATCGTTTTCGTTTCGTTTCGCGCGCCGTTCCGTTCGTCGAACGCTCCGCGAGATCCCTGAAACGGGCGTTACGCGGATCGATGTGATCTCTCGATCGGACGCGCGACTCGTTGTTTCTCGGCCTACGGAAGCCATTCTCGATAAGTAACGCAGCTATTACGTTGCAGGCACGTTGCTTTGATATTCGGATTCGTAAGTGTACATCACCCAAAACCGGACGAACGGGGGAAACTAGGAATTCGTTTACCGGGCCGACGGATCGAACGGAATTCACGATCGCGTTTCATCCGTAAGCAGTCCGTCGGTTTTGATTCTACTTGCCAACCAACCAGGCGCACAAGCTCCTCGGCCACGACGAGAGCGTGGATCCCGAGTACTCTTGGAGTGAAGATGGGAAAAGAAACGCTGTCGCTCGCTGCGGGGATTCCAAGGGGAACCGGAAGGACATCGATATACATCGTGTCCATCGCGTTTGTTCTTTCGACGCTCGTGTTTCGCGCATCACGCAGCCTCACCGAGTGCAAAATGTTGGAGACGATAAGTATAAACAAACCATTGGATAACCAAGTACCAGCAATAAACGTTCTTACTCGTTAAATACTTATTATATTTTTTTAAAACTCTTACTATAATTATTCAAGATCAAAATTGTACTCCAAGTTCGGAAAGTGTTCGTTTAAATCGTGTCGTGAGCTTAAAATGGTCGAAGACTGGTGGTTTAACCTCTTCAGGGAGGAATTATCTAAAATAAAATAAAATAAGTAATCTTGTTTTTATATTGAAAATAAACTGAAAACTAAATGTGTACTTTTCCAGTGTCTTAGAAAAAATTAAACTTAGATCGTCTAGTATTTTAGCTGCTCGAGACTATCTTTTTTTTTCTGTTTCGTCGCTATCGGTATGAATTCTTCATTTTTGTTGCCGGTAGATCAATTCAGAAGTTCCTTCAACGCGATAACGCAAGATTTGTTATGCATCTCATTGTTAATACGTTTTCAAAAATCATTGGGCTATAACGATACGAGCCTCGAATAACCTTTGCACTCGTTATATTCTAAAAAGACACTATTGAAACTATTGGTATTCATTCAGAACCTTACACGTTCGTCGATGTAAATTTTCGTACTTGATGTTATTCGAGGATCGTTTCGTTGTAGCTCGTTGATTTCGTCATAATGCCCGGTAAATGATATGCAAACAGGGTTCTATACACAAAATGCAGCTAATGTTATCACCTTGGTGAACATTCCGAGTCATGATGTTCACGATACGTTTTCATCGATTCGCCAACAACAAAAATGATAGTGTCTACTATGTCTTCTCTTTTAATCTTTACTTCGTTAATCGACTATTAATTTTTTCTTCCATTAATTTGATATCTCAGTATTTAAAAATTCTTAACTGCATTCGTAGTTAGAGATAATAGTGCTCTGTTCTTTCTTTTCCCTCTCTAATTTAAATACAATTTTCCATTCATGGATCCCAAAGTGAACGTAGATAGTTTCTCATCGCGTTTACGTGGTACAATTAGTAGAACTCGAGAATGTAAAAGATAACCGAGTATAAGCATGTGCTTTGTCACTTATCGTTTTCAATATTTTGCACACACACCGTACAAAAATCATTCATTCTCATCGTCGACTCTCCTTACGGGAGAAAAATGACGCGATCGTTCGTCGTATTTGCTCGATGCCTCGAGAAGACTCGACCCCAAGGATGAAATTGCTTCGAGACCAAGATTTCTATAGAGATTAGTATAAAAACTATAGCTTGTATAAAATCCGCCTTCCAATGGAATGTAAGTCAACTTTACAACCATCAAATGGATAGCAAAAATTAAGAAAAGATCATGGTTGCAAAGTCTTTTATAAACATTGAATAGCAAAGTTTAAATCGTAATGGTCCACAGAGTCCCAATCATCCGTCGATGCTCTTCACCATTTTTCTTCTTTTTTTTCCTCATCACGTTCGGACACATTAGCGATACATCGAAACATCAACAGATAATGCTCGTTATTGATCAAATAATCGGTTTTACAATGCTCTACTGTTAGAGTGTTCTGTACATTTTGATCTGATCCCTCAAACTTACGAACCTCGATATTTAAAGTTTACTAAAAGTACGTACATTACTCCTTCTTACAGCGATATATCACATCTCTTAGGAAAAAGATCGCTCCAACATCCTCGTTACTAATTAAACATCCGACGATAATCACACGTCGAAGCGTTCGGTATATTATATACTGTTTCTATACTCTTACGAGTATCGACGTTTACAATTCACGAAGTACACGCGTCATCATCTTAATCGCGATACATCGGTAAACGTCTATCGACCGATCGCTCCAACGTTCACGTTATACCGATTACACAATTATCAGACCATTGGAGTGCTCTTTAAATATTTCACCACCGTTTACATCTCCGATTATCCCCGTTTAGAATTTACACAATATATATATAACTATATATATATATATATACTGTAAGTACTTGTATAGTAATATATTAAATCATTACTTTTCTTCGTAATGCTAACGCTCGTTCCAACAGATCACTCCAACACTCTCAGAAACATATTAAATAAACATTTCTAACAGACGGATACGATCACCAGCCTTGTCTGCGAACTTCCAAACGATCTCGGTAAACAATTTCATCCCCAAAGTGTCTCTCGTCGCTCGATACCGCGCTCGCGTCGTTTCCCTAGCTGTAAGAGAACCTCGAGGCACCGTGCTCGAGCATAAGCTGCTGCGTCGAGTGACCGTCTAACGACGTTGCAGTTAAATGCTCGTTCGACGTGCCTCGAGGGTCCAAGTACCGATCGCGAAACAACCCCTGAAACGCGGAAACGTGGACGGTGGTTTCTTCGTCCATCGAACGTCGGCTTCGGGACCCTTGGAACCGCCAAGAAAAATTTTACTAATAGGAACCGTGGGTCGCGTGCGTGTGAATTCGTGCTAAATCCGTGCGCGAGTGCGTGTGTACGCGGGTGCCATCGTTCGAACTGTAGAAGAAAGAGGAATCGTTAAAACGAGCTACTTTTGCGCTATGTCAGAAGCGGGTGCGTCGTTTTCTCGACAAGCTCGAGCTACAATCTACCAAAACGATATTTGCTTCGTCTTTATCTTACTTATCAGCATCTTTCGGCGAGAACCGCCTTGAACGACGGCGGTTTCGCTCGAACTCGAAATCGGGTCCGACGTAACCGATACTCGCGATCCGCTCGACGATCGTCTCGTCTCTGACCCTTCTCTGGTCGTAAACGAAACGATGCACGGGGGATTCGTTTCGAGCGGACCTCGAGCAGCCGGCTCGCCACACCCAGGAATTAAGATTAACTAACGACTACGTAGAAGTGAAAACGTCGAGCCTAACGATCACAGCTATTGTACGATACTATGAGTGCTTAACTGTCGCGCAGAAACGAATAATTCAGTGATGTGTACGTAAACGGTACAGAATCGATTATCAAAAAGACCTTACGAGCAAATTTGTCGCGAGGAAGCTAATCGGTGCGTGTCTCTCGGTTACGCTCATCTCGCTGAACGCGATTATTTTTTTCGACACAGATGGAAAATAATGTGTTAGGTGATGTGTGTGTGATGTATGTGTGTACGCATATACTTATAAAATTCATCCTACGAAGATTCTGCCTCGCACCGGTTCGTCGACGGGGCTCGAAAGATCGCGAAATCTTTCGTCGGTAAGCTTTCTCGTCGCGCTTCGAGGCGAACACGTCTAACGAGCGGCCACGCGATCCTGCGATTCGCGTCCGCCATCTTGGAGCGAAGTTTCAGCGCGCAGGACAACGGGGGTTCGAGGACGATCTGCGTCGACTACGAGGCCCCCGAAACGAAATCGTCAGAAAAGAAATAAATGGTCGACCGAGAGACGGGGCTCTCGTTTCTTTTTTTTTTAAATAAAAAGACTCCCCCTAACGTGTTCGAAGATATGTGTCTCGAGGATTGCACAACACGGTTACGAGATACTTCGTTTTACAAAATCTTAGCTGCACCTTAGGACCTATGTATGATATCCTTTTTGTTTCGTACGTGAATATTGAACGCCTTTCGTACAACGGTATACACGCGTATATGTATATAATTATATATATTATATATCACATATATAATATATACTCTGCATACACAAAGCATCCGTGGTTCTTGTTACCGCCATTACTTTTACTTTTTCTATATATGTTTGCTGGTTTCTTTTGTAAAACTTACTCTACTATATGATTTTTTTCATCTTCTTCGTTATCTTTTTTTCACACAGTGCAAATATAATAATAATAATAATATTTAATAATAATTAATAATTAATAATCGATAGCTTCGAATCACGGAACATGGAAGTTCCGCTCCCGTGTCCGAAATTAAAGTGAAAAAACACCTGTCTCCCTCTCTTTGTCGTTCATGTACGCGGTCTGTCGAATTAACACGAAGAAATAGTCATCCGACGATGTTGTTAATAATTATATTCGGGGATCGCGCGTTTCTCTTTCGCTGCCGCTCTTTCTCTCTTTACCTTTCTCTCTCTCACTTTCTCTCACTTCTCGCACTCTCGCATGCTCTCGCGTGGACCAAAAAAAAAAGAAAAAAAAAATATATATATATATATATGAAGAAGGAATACAAATGTCGTTACACGTCACAGCTAACCACAGCATTCGGCAATTATGTTTCACTCGTTATTTTTTTTCCTTTTTCTTTTGTTAAAAATTATTTATATCACAATGAAACGCCAGCGCATCCTTCTGATCGTCTGATCGCTTGTTTTGTGTCGCCCGAAACCGAGCGCGCCATTACCTTGGACCTTCGTTCTCCTGCTCGCCGACATTAAGGATGCGTCTACAGGCTCCGGCAGGTTTTGGCCTTGATCCGAGGGTTTCCGGATGGTCGCGACGACGTCGTTAATAAGCTGGGGATCCGCATCGCTCGAACGAGCCGCGCACCGCAAAGGCAGAGCGCGGCTCGTCCTTTGGACGCGGATCCCTGGATTTACAGGGCTTCTAATCAGGCAAGAATCAAAGGGTTCTCCTTCTGACCGCAGGATTACTGTTGCTGCTGCTGCTGACTGCTCGCAAACAGATCCGCGCTATTGCTCACCGCCTTCACGCGCACCTGATAGAACTTGGTGCCGCGTGGCACGTTGTACCGGTTCTCCGACTGAAAAGATAAACGATCGATCACAAATATGTCGCTATGAATATGAGGAACCTCCATTTGTAGACTGTATCCTTTTGGAAAACACTCGATTGCATCATCGATCGGCTGATCGGTTAGAGATACTCTGGAATATCTTTGGTAATTATTATATTTAAAAAAAGGACACAGTCTGCGTGGAGAAGCTTTCGACAACATGGACTCGAAACCTGACGCGAATCTTACCCTCCTAGCATGACAGAACTCCTTGTCGACAACCTTCGCGATGGTCTGAATACTTTTCGGTGTCCCGTCGGGATTCAAGCCCAGGTCCAGTTCAGCAAAGCAGTCCGAGGTGAGGAAATAGAAGGTCGACGACTCCTGATACAGCGTGTAGTTGCCGTGTATCGGATCCCAGAACACGAACACGATGTCGCCCGGGTTGCAGCTGACCGCCGTGATGCGACCCTCCGCCGCCAGCTTCGACGCTAGTTTCTTCATCTTCTTTTGGCCGCGCGAGAAGAAGCAAGTCTTGCAGCTACAGGGCCGATTGGGCTCCGGGCTGAGCGACTCGTCCCTCCACGGGACCACGGCGACGGAAGCGTTCATTTCTTTCTCGCGACTGACCGAGGAGATCAACGACTTGGGAGCAGCGAAATTCTTCCTGGGCCTTTCCGTGAACAGCTCGATCTCCGAACGGAGTTTCTCCGATTTCAGAGCCTCCACCTTCGCCTCCGACGACTCCTTGCTCTCACGAAGCAACTGCAACTCTGCGTTCAACCTCTTGTTGTCATTCTCGAGGATCTCGAGCTTCTTGAACAGGCTACTAGCATCGTTGCTCTTCTCCAGCCGAACTTTCTTCGACTCCGACACCTCGATCTCCTCCTTCTTAGGCTCCAGATTCTTCAACCCTTCGTCCTGGCTGCTCTGACTGATTTCTAATCCCTCGTCGCTGGACTCCTGGTACAATCCAGGCTCGGTCGAGATGTTCTTCATGTTCTCGAATCCGGTCAACCGCCTCACCATGTTCTTGTAACGTTTGCATTCTTCGGCGAGCGCGACCTCTCTCATTTTGTACATCTCCACCTCGCGGTCCTTCTCGACGACCACCTGTCTGGCCAACTGCAACTCGAGATCCAGCTTCACGACGCAATCTGATCTTTCTTTGTCCATGGTCGAATGCATCGCGACGGGATGCTCCAGTTTGAGGTCCTCGTTCGTCTGGGACAGCAACTGGCTGGCCAGCTCGATGGCATTCTGTCTCTGAAAAACAGGAACAACGTCAGTCTGAGCCTGTCCCTCTTTTTCAAAAGGATGAAACAACACAATTTTTTCATCATCGAATTTAACAATTTTCATTCCATCCTTCGGAAAAAGAAGACTGACGCCCCCCCAGTATAAACTAATATGCTTACTTCGATCTTCTCGAGTCTGGAGTCGGTGGAGCTGGTCTCCATGGTGGACGCAGCCATCGGCTTCAACCGGTTCTTGAGGGTCTCCAGCTCAGCCTTGTATTCCATCTCCAGCTTGTTGGTGACCTCCTTGACGATTCTGTCCTGGTCGCTGCGAGCCGTGTCCAAACTCTCCTCGAGCTCTTCGATCCGTTTCTGGCACTGAATGACGGACTTGTTCAGAGACACGATCTCCACGAAATTCTCGTCGTTCGCCTTGTCGACCGCGGCCTGTTTCTCGCCACGCGCCTCTTCCAGCACGTCCTCCAGCTGACGATGCAAACGCGTCTGGAAGTTCCTCATCTCTGCTTGCTCCGCCTCCAGTTTCTGACGCATGGTGGCGATCAGACGCTCGTGGTCAGCCAGCTCTGTCTCCTTCTCCAGCAGGCTACGCTTCAACGTGCAGATCTCCTCCTCCCGGCCCTGTATCAGTTTCTTCATGTCGGACATCTCGAGCTCGTGGTCCACCGTGAGCTCCTGTTCGCGTTCACGAAGACGACGATCGCACTCGCGCGAGTACAACGACAAGGCCTCGTGTACGCGTTGGGTCATCTCCGACAGATCGTTCTTGTCCTCGCCGGATCGATCTCTCAGAACAGCGAGTTCCTGGCGGATCGAGGTCAGCGCCTCGCAGACGACAGCTTTCATCGTCTTCAGAATGGAACGGAGCCTCTCGACTTCCTCGCAAGTGTTGTCAAGATTCTCCTGAAACGCCGATCGTCACAGAGATCGTGATAAGTACTGGTGAACGAAACCACCCCCCCCCTCATCTGAGCTATATGTCTACTATTTATGATCGGTGATAAGTTGTTTCGGGTCTGACGAGAAAGAATCTGATATTAGGAGCGTGGGAGAAATCTGATCAAGGTACCCAAAAAAATGTCCAATGTTAATGATATAATGTCGTGTTTGTGGTTTGCATCGACACGTGAACAGTCAAGTCCGGGTGGTGAACAATCTCATTCGATAGTCGGTATATATATATATATATATTCTGAAAAAGCGTACACGTCAACGAGTGTCACGAGAGATATACTTTGTCGGGTTCGAGGGGAATTCAGGAAACGAGTGCGACGGCAGCTATCCTGTAAACAAAAATTAAAACGGACGCACTCACAGACGGCGTACGAGCGGGTAAAATGCGGCTACAAATAAACAGACACCCAAGCACTATTTGAAAAAACACAGCAGGCACAACGGGACAACGACCGTAGACGGCAGGCAAGAGATACATACCGGGCGTCTCGGGATTTACTTGCATTGTGTCAGCGCTAATAGCTTTTGGGTAGCGAATGTAAAGACAATGACAACGAAAGTACCTAGAAATCACAGAGAAGGGAGAGATAAACGGAGATAAATCGCGGCAAGCGACGCGTAAACGTTGGGCAACCGTAGAGGGACGACTCGATGGCTAGCTATAAGGGTAGGTCTAGCGTAGGTCTAATTAGGACCAGAGAACTCTTGTGTTCGTAGCAGTCAGGCTATTTAATACTGTGCGTCCGCGAGAAGATGGAAAGTGAAACGAATGTTGGATCCCCCACTCTAGCTACCGAATCACTCCCCTTGTCCCCTGTACCACCCCGTTAGCCAACTTCTCGCGGTTGCATAGTAGTATTCTACTCTGTTTCAGTTTTGTTGGTGTCCTTTGGAATCGAGTCGAGCCATCGAGTCGTCTCTCCGTGGTACGAGGGATGCAGGAGAATGAAAGTGTGATACCGCAGGTAACCGATAGGCGATAGAATACGAATCAACGTAGGGGTGGGGGGAAGTAGATCGAGAAGGTAAGCAAACAGTGTGTAGACCATCGAGAGGACATCAACGGTAGTGGAACGTTTACGGCTACGACTACGAGGTCTGTTAGCGAGCTGTAAGTCGTCCAGTACCTGGAGAAGGGAAACGATAGCCTGATGTTGGCCGTCGACGGGATGCTCGCTGAGACTGCTCGGCAGAGACTCGTCCATGTAATACTCAGTACCCATGAAGTCGGTAGCGCCTACTCCGACGGAGGGGCTGCTACCGCCACTGCTGGACTGGTGGCGTTGTTGCTGCTGGCCGTCGCACATCACAGGTCGTGTCAAGGAGGAAGGATTCGGACTTAGGGATATCGGTTCCTCGGGCATCGAGGTGGATGGCAGGTCGCAATATTTGGGAAGACCGTTCGTGCCGCGGTGAAGCAAACAGCTCGACTCGCCGTTCTCGGCGCACTCGGTGAGCGGACTCAGCTGAGCCGGACGCTCGCTGATGGACAAACTGGGGAAATGGAAGGATCCGGGCTCGCTAGAGGAGGATGACCGGTTCGTCAGGTCCGCGACTTTCGAATTTAGCGAGGACACGTTAGTTGAGGTCGAGGAAGCAGGGGACACGCTTCGCGAGGCACCAACCTCCATTTGCTTCTGGCGCATTTCTTTCGTGCCGTCGAACGACTCTGGTTTCGAGTCCGTGGCGGCCTGGCCGATCTTCTCGAACTCTTCCGTGTCCGTCTCCGACTCGAAACCACCCCTAAAGTCACAGAGCACGCGTTTAATCGCCGAGACAACTATTCGCGTATTGGCTCAAAAGGAATATAATAAGATGCTCTCGTGGCAAGCCCTTGGAAGAATTAATTTTTAATGCATAATCAAATTTTAAAATAAAAGCCTCCCCTTTGGTGACGACAAGCTACTGATATAATGATTCATCGCCTTTCCAAATTCGCGACATAGTTAATAGTAATGGCTAGACTAGGGATCTTTATGCAAATACAATAGAATTAATGAAATGGGAGCTTTGTATTAGGTTCACTCAACCCCTAAATATAATAATTCGTATCTTATTTATTTCTTATATTTTCACATATTAAATGCATTTTCTAGCTCCCTGAGAATTAAAATTTCCCATAAATGTTAATGGCAAATCAATGACATGACTTTACTAGCATGCCAAAAATGTCACGTTGCTTAAGACAATTTCAAAGATTGTGTTTATAATACGAACGACTCTATTTCTAAAGAACACCTGCTGAGAATATTTTGGCAACACGCGATCGATTTAGAAACAGATTCAGACCCTAGAAGTTGTTTCACTGTCACGTAACTCCTACGTTTCTGTTCGTCACGTGCAAATGTTACAGTCTTGCTGCCATTTACCCCCAACAGATGTTCTGAACGGAGTTAAAATTACCTCGCCAAGGCAAGAGATCAAATTTGTATTGAGAATGATTGGGGTGCTTCTAAACCGTCCTAATAAACCTTGGGGTGCTTCTAAAACTTACCACTCTTAACACGTTGATTGTTAGACCAAACCCCTTAAATTGACCACGAAAACGAAACTTTGTCTTTGGAGACTTGGAAACTACCCACAATATGTCATAGATCTTTTTTTTAACATCTAATCTTGAGAATGAATTTCTTTAACGAGAAGAAAAGTTCTGAATCTATGCTTTAATGAGTAACGAGCTATTCCACTCAAAGAGTATCGCAGTATATTCCTTCCACGCATTACACCAGATAAAAACATAGAAACGTCTCGTAGAAGCGAGACTACGTTTCCACTAAGCTTGATAGTACCTGTCGGACGACATTGGACCTCTTGTTCGTCCCTGTTCCTTGGCAGCTGCGTCAACGCGCATGGAAGTACTATCTTTCTCCTTGTTTCCATCTGTGCTGGCCTCGGTGAGGCTCTTGGACAAAAAGAACTGCGTGATGCTGTTCAAATCCGGAGACGAGACGGTGAGCGCCAAATCGGGCAGCTGGGATTTCAGGGACTCCATGTCGTCCGTCGTCAACTGGAACAGAGAAACACAAATCGCGTGAACGGGTTTCCCGAGGGACTCTCTGTTCTCCGACAGAACCGAGCGTACCTTTGGCAATCCACCGTCGAAAACGGACGGTGCTTGGGTCGCGAAAGGTGGCGGCGTGTCCTCGAGGCCGGGGAACAGCGAGTTCAAGAAGTGTCCGTCGAATTTGCTCTGGAACTCCCTTCGACGGGCGAGCTCCTCGCTGTGAACGGTGAGCAGTTGGCAGGCCAGGTTGCTCGCCCAAACGAGGAAAGCCTGGGAGAAGGTGCGCCTTCGCACGACCTCCGCCACCGCGTTCATGTACATCTGCGGCGCGAGATGGATCTGCTGGAGCACCTCGAGGTGCCTTCTCAGACGCTTCAGACTTTCGTGGTACATGACGAGCTTCCCGTTTATCTCCATCATCTTGTTCTCCACGTACATTATCCACTTCAGCCGATGGTAGATGTTCACGGATAGCTCCTCCTTCGCCTTGGTGCACCTGCGACGTATGTCGCGCAGCTGATTGTGATTCTGCAGCATCACGATCAGCTGGTGTCTGTGGGACGTGCAGAGATCGGGCAGCACGCTCGCGTCCCCCAAGTTGTTCGCTCGACTTTGATTCTTGTGGAAACTCTGGGCCAACTCCCCCTGCTCGTGAACGAGCTTCTTGGTCTGCACCATCAGTTGCTCCAGCGCGAACAACCGTTCACCGAGGCCCTTGATCTCCTTCATGTCCTGCTTGTTCGCGTGATCTATCGTCGCGTTCACCTCGACCTTCAGTGCCTCCATCATCTTCTCGTCGAACTGCTCCAGACCCCGTGAACACTGCTCCGCCACCTGCTCCAGGCTGCTCTGATTGTCCTTCGCCGAGATCCATCGAAGCAAGCTCAGAACCTCCTCCCTGCCCTCCGAATCCTTCTCGGATTGACTCGGTTGGTCGTCCGGGCTCAAGAGGCCCTCCGCTTGAGCGCGTAACGCTGGCAGGATCGGAATCTTCGCGAGCATGCCCAGATCAGCGTTGAAACTTGAACGAAAGGACACGCGAATGTTAAAATGGCACAGTTTCACGAGGATAATCAAACTATTTTGTGGGGTCCTGTTAGACGCTGAGATATTGGGAGTTGGTCGATCGTCCCTCTGGTGGCAAGTACCGGAGGCGATGGGACCCCACAATTCTAAGTTAATCGCTAGGTTACTGTGTTATTACATACAATTTGTAAAAGCTTTGTTCCACTATTACCATAATTGTACTGGCTTCCTTAGAAATTATATTCAACGTCGAGTTATACGTATGATCTATAGAATTCATTGGAAAAGCGACAATGTACGGAATGAGTAATCGACCGAAACGCTATTTAATTGCATTCTTTATTCGAACGTTAAACAGATCGTACTTTGTATAAAGTACCGCCGAGGCTGAACCTCGATACCAACCAGCAATTATGCAAATAGTACGATATCGTTAACTCTAATTAGACCTGGCGACTAATTTTACTTTCAATTGTACTTCGACGGATAGTAAATTTTCGCCTTCGTTACGAATTCGAATCTATTTACTATAATAAATTTGCAACAAAAATATATGTAAATCCAAAATCGCGACTAGGCTTATTTATTATCGCGAATTTTGTGTAGAAGAAACCGATGTAAATAAAATTCTACGAACGACGAGGCGTTGAACTGGTAAATTAAATTTTGTTTAATCGTAAGAGCGCCAGTCGACGACCACGTAAAATGGCGCCTGAAGGCACGCGACCCTCCTTGCCTCTGTTGTCTTCGCGCGGCGTCGGTGGGCGGAATTGCCCCCAACCGACTCCATAAAATATTCCGTCGTCTGGGAAAGCGGGAGTGGATCGAAGAGACCGACGATCAGGGAAGATTGATGGGAACTCGAGTACGTACTTCTCGAGCAGCTCCAGGTGCTGCTGTCTCTCCGAAAGGTAGGCGGCGAAGCTCTGTTGGAGAAGATCGGCCCGCGACTGGAACATCTGCGTGATGTCCTCCAGATTCGCCACCACGGCGGCCCAGCCCTGTTGCTGGAGGTGTTGATCGTGCACCAGCCTCTCGCAGATCCTGGTTTGCTCCCGTGCCAACGCGCAACACTGCTGGGCCAATTGAGCTCGGGCAACGAGGGTCTGGTAAGTGGCTGGCATCGCCAGCGACGCATCGATTTGACTCTGCAGATCGACGTCTGTCGAGCAAAATTTCAACAGTAATACTAACGGTGATAAGGCCAACCATATCCATTATATCCTATTACGCTGATCATTACTTTGATCAAGTTGGATGATTCAACCGGATTATCGATAATACTAATATTAATAGGACATTTGCATATTTCGAATTCTTTGAAACAATGTTTTTATGTCCCCCCCAAAGTGACCGCGAGTGGCGAACCTCGACCTCGTTGGGTTGGCGAACCTATGAATCTTCGTTTCTGCTCTCGATCCGAATAGAAAAATCTATGCGACTCCATCATCGATCGAATGGTCTCGGCAGTTCGCGACAGGTACGTATATAATTGATCGACGAGAGGTTCGCCAACGTAATCTTGGCACGCGATGAAAAGCCAAGGTCGCGTCGTGGCTCGCGCGCCGTTTCAGTGCCCTTACGTCAGAGTCTGGATCCGAGGATCGTCCGCGGTGCGCGTTACGCCGTCCAGGCTTCCTGGTTGGGCGACAATTGCCTCCGGCGAATGAAACCAGCGCGAAACGCGTTCTTCGCGAAACGCGACCGGTGCTCGGTGTCGCTTTAAGCCGCGTTCTCGCGCGTGCGGCACGCAATTATCAACCGTTTCGACAAATTGGAGCAGACACGTTGCAGGGAAACGAACTTTCAGAAGAAACTTCAATATTTTCGATTCGATACAGTTATTTCTAGGAGGAGGAATCTCGAGAAGTTGGAGCAGGGGTTGTCGAAACAAAATGGCGGAACCACTCGATCCCTTGAATTTTGTATTCCTTGACAAACGTAGAATTGCAACTTAATATCTTCTGTTTTAAATAATTTCTAAGAGGAGGATGGGATTCTCAAGTACTCGAAGTCTTGAGAAATTGGAGCAGGGGTTGTCGAAACAAAACAACAGGACGACACGATTCCTTGACTTTTGTATTCTTTGACAAACGTAGAATTGCAACTTTAATATCTTCTCTTCTAAATAATTTCTAAGGAGAGGGTGGGATTCTGAAATACTCGAAGTCTTGAGAAATTGGAGCAGGGGTTGTCGAAACAAAATGGCGGAACCACTCGATCCCTTAAATGTTGTATTCTTTGATAAACGTAGAATTGTAACTTTAATATCTTCTGTTTTAAATAATTTCTAAGGGGAAGGGTGGGATTCTCAAATACTCGAAATCTTGAATAATTGGAGCAGGGGTTGTCGAAACAAAATGGGGACCGACTCAACGTCTTAAATTGTGTACACTTTGACAAATTTTGAGTCGCAGCTTTAATATTTTTTCTAAACGTAGTAATAGTTAAATTCTATTTTGGAGTAATTCGTAAAAGAAGATGGAGGATAGACAAAGTGTACGAAAATGCAGCAGTGGATAATTCAAAAGGTCAGGCTGGAAACCTCAAAAGATTGCAAGTCTATGCCCCCATCCCTGGGCTAGGATTATTGACTTTGCTCGGATACCTGAAGAACGAAAATTTCATGGGTAGGGTAGCCGAGATAGCCGAGTACACGATATCCCTGATATATGATACGAGCCTAGTAGACCGGCTAATGCTCAGCTCTTTTTCCCTGTTCGCTCGAGGCTGGGCTTAACTCCCACGCTTTGCTTCAACATTTAAAAATGTTATTCAAATTTTATAAACGATAATATCTACTGTGGGATCGGGAAGATAATGACTCCGCTCTGTTCCGTTCCGCACAATTTTATTGTTGCTGTCGTACAACGACGTGACTCGTGGTGCGGGTTACGCTCGACTCTCTGGTACGATCATCGCCACCGTACCAAGAGGCCTTCAAAAACAAAAGACGGTCAGAGACGACGACAACGGCTTTTCGGCTCACGCGGCTCTGGTCGTCTCGTGTGCAACCATCGTCTCGTGTGCAACCATACATTGTAGCGGCTTCGAACGGCTAAGGCGTATGTGGTGCCTTGGCCGCCACACTACCCCCCTGCCAGTAATTGGCACAATTACGAAAAATTGACCGACTACATTACCACTACCATTTACTCTATTATATAAAATACGTTATCCTAACTAAGATTTACATTACAGTATTTGAACAGAGTTGAAAAAAAAAGGAATTTACATGGAGTTTAATATATAATACGTAATGCCTAAAAATACATGAAAGTACATAAAAGTGATGGATACAAATAAATGGTATATGATACTTATTATAATAATGCGCAAGCCTTAAGTACTACCGCGTAATTTGATATCGCTCGGGAAAACGTACGCGTCTACCTGAACGCGTAACACGTTGCTGTATAACCGGCGCATTGTCAGGTACGTTTGTTTGTGTGACCGGCTGATTTTCTATGCTCACGGGATCCGGTCTGTTTTCTGCTAGCATATAAGCAGGCTTTAGCCTTTCAATTGATATATTTATTTCCTTACCTCTAATGTTTATTGTAAATGTTTTTTCGCCTCGGCGCACTACGGCGTATGGACCTTCATAAGCGGGTTGTAAAATAGTTTTGGCTGAATCTGTTCGGATGAAAACATGTGTTGAACTGCTAAGATCTTTGAAAACGAATGTACGATTAACGGAATGGCGTGATGCATTAGAGGGACTCAATTTAGAAAAATGGTTGCGTAGTCTATTAGTAAAATCGGAAGCATTTTCTGTGCCTTCCGCTGAATGCGAAGACAAGAACTCTCCCGGTAATCTTAATGGCTCGCCATAAACTAATTCCGCTGAGGTAGCGCCGAGGTCTTCTTTCCAGGCGGAACGAATACCGAGTAGAACCGTCGGAAGTATTTCTGTCCACCTGTCGGATCCGTGGCACCTTATAGCCGACTTGAGCTGTCGGTGAAAACGCTCTACCATCCCATTGGCCGCTGGGTGATACGCCGTTGTGCGAAGGCGTGTGGATCCAATTAAATTGTTCAGCGCAAAAAATAATTTGGATTCGAACTGCCTACCCTGGTCGGTGGTAATCCGTACGGGAGCACCAAACCGCGCTACCCAACCGTCATAAAAGGTTCGAGCTACGGTTTGGGCCTCCTGATCGACCATGGGGAAGGCTTCCGGCCACCGCGTATATCTGTCTACACAGGTCAGACAATACCTGAAACCTTCGGACACCGGTAAAATTACTATGTCTAAATGAATGTGTTCGAATCGCGCAGAAGGTTTAACAAATGTAGCCAATGGTGCAGTCACATGACGGGAAATTTTTGATCTTTGGCACGGTATACAGCAACGTGTCCACGTGCGAACATCTCTTTTAATCGACGGCCAAACATAACGTTGCGTTATGAGCTTGATCGTCGCGTTAATACCTGGATGTGATAATACATGTAACATATTAAAAACTGCACGTCGGAAAGGAGGGGTGACATAAGGTCTTACATTCTTAGTCGAAATATCGCAAAAAATTTCGGAAGACGTGCCAGGCAACGAGACTTTGCGTAATTGCAGGCTAGATTCGCTATTCAACAACCGCTGCAACTCCTCATCCTGGGCTTGCGATTTTGCCAATTCTTCGAAATTAATCGAGTGGTTAACCGTTTCCACTCTGGACAGTGCATCGGCAACGACGTTGTCTTTACCGGAAATATGTTGAATATCTGTAGAGAATTGCGCAATGTAATCTAGGTATCGGAATTGTCGAGGAGAGCATTTATCTAATTTCTGTTTGAAAGCGAAAGTTATGGGTTTATGGTCTGTAAAAATCGTGAAATGTCTGCCTTCGAGCATATGTTTGAAATGTTTTATTGCTAAATAGATAGAAAGTAGTTCCCGGTCGTAAGCTGAATACTTCTTTTCGGCAGATCCTAATTTCTTAGAAAAGAATGCTAATGGTTGTCGTTCGTTGCCGACGCACTGATGTAAAACAGCTCCTACGGTGTAATCAGAAGCATCGCAGGTAACCGACAATGGAGCGTTGACCGCAGGATGAGAAAGCAGGGTTGCGTTTGCTAAACTATTTTTGGTATTTTCAAAAGCCTGACGCGCTTCCGAAGTCCAGGCTATCGAGGTCTTGCCCTTTAAATTGCCGGCTAGAAGGTCGTTCAAGGGTGCTTGAAAGCGAGCGGCATCTGGGATAAAACGGCGGTAAAAATTAAGCATTCCCAAGTACTGCCTCAAATCCTTCGCGTTTTTCGGAAGGGGAAATGACTTTATGGCTTGTACCTTGCCGGGCAAAGGTTGAGTGCCGCTTTCATTTACCCGATAGCCTAGAAATTTAACTTCTTCCTGTCCGAACGTGCATTTATTCGGATTAACAACAATGCCATAATCTTTTAATCGTTTAAATAATAATTCTAAATGGCGCAGGTGATCGGCTTGGGATTCTGAGGCGACCAAAATGTCGTCTATATACGCGTAACAAAAATCGAAACCGCGTAAAATTTCGTCGATAAAGCGCTGAAATGTTTGCGCGGCATTTCGTAACCCGAACGACATGTACGGGAATTCAAAAAGCCCGAACGGCGTTGTAATGGCCGTTTTTCCGACGTCTTCCGACGCAACCGGAATCTGATTATAAGCTCGGACGAGATCTATTGTGGAAAATACCTTTTTGCCACTCAGTTGTTGCGCAAAATCCTCAATGTGACGCACGGGGTATCGGTCGGGAATTGTCCGTGCGTTTAACGCTCTATAGTCACCGCAAGGCCTCCAAGCTTCTTCGCCCTTCTTCGGAACCATATGAAGGGGTGCTGACCACGCGCTCTTCGAAGGACAAGCGATGCCCATCTTCACCATCGCGTCGAACTCCTTCTGGGCAGCCCTGAGCCGGTCCGGTGCAAGCCGCCGCGGCTTGCTGGAAACGGGTGGTCCAGGGGTTGTCTCGATGTAATGCACCGTTTGGTGCGTAGTCCTCATCGGGGTGCCGCTAGGCCGTGTAAGTTCCGGCATCTGCATCAGGAGCTGGTGGTAAACGGTAGTCCCTGCTACTGTCTTCACCGACGGCGTCTCATCCTCGGCTCGTGTTCCGCGGACCGTTAACGACGTTGTCCGATCGACGAGGCGACGATTGCGGATGTCCACCATAAGATCGAAGTGAT